TAGAGCTAAATGATCTAGGGGCAGACATTTGACCTAAAATAGGTCAAAAAGTTGCTCATTCTTGGAACCTTACACTTGAATTGTAAGACAGAGAGAGAAGTTGCTAGAGCTTAAACCTGGTTACAGCAGAGCTCTAGAGAAAAGATCAAGGATCCCAGAATCCCATAATCCCAGAAGCTGCCCTGGTTCCTATGTTTCCTGAGTTTTCGTTTTCAGCTGAACTAGTCCAGTATTTTTCCAGCAGAAGTCTTTTGATTAAGTTAGTCTAAAAGTGGCTTTTGTGCTGCTTGTGAGCAAAAAGAATTAGATGAACATGATTTCTGCCTTCATAGAGCGTTCAATCTTGCAGAAAAACAGACATGATAAAGTAAAGTATGGAAATGAAAGGATTTCATTCATTCATTGAGCAAATATTTATTGCATACCCTTTACATACAAGGTACTGTTCTAGGCCCTGAAATGTCAGTAAAGGAAACAAAGATCCTTACCCTTGTATCTTTTATCAGGGGATGATAAGTAATAAGCATAGAAATACGTAAATAAATAATATGGATTTAAAAGGAGATAAATGCGATGGGAAAAGATTAAAAAGTAGTTCAGAAGGAATGGTATATCAAATGACCAAGAAGCCAGAGAGAAATGACAAGTTGGAGAAACTGAAAGATTTTTAGAGCTGAATATCATCGACAAGGCCAGTGGCTCAAAATGAGGACCAAGAGGATAACCAAGCTAGATTAAGAACTGTATAAGCCATTTTGAGGATTTTGAACTTTATCCTAAGGCAATCTGAAGCCACTTAAGAGTTTTAAGATGTAAACTGACATGATCAGATTTGCATTTTAAATTTATCATTCTGCTTGCAACCTGGAAAACACATTGAAAGCTAGCAGCAGTGCATGGGTGAGAATAATTAGGAGACTCTTCCTAGTCTAAGTGAGAAATGGTGGTGCTCTTGGCTAGCGTGTGTTTCATGAATTGGACAATAGTAGCTGTGATAAAATGGTTGTTATGTAGGCTTTGAGTTTTAGCTCCTTCCTTATATTTAGAATAAATTAATGCCTGCCCAACTTTATCTTCTGTTCTTTGGGCTTTGATGCTGTAAAGAGCCAATTTGAAACGTTTGCCACTTTTTCATTTGCTTTATGCTACTTAGTTTAATTATGCCTCATCTTTAGGAAAAAAAAAAGGTTTTATGTGGATGTTTAAGAAGCTATGGCGTCTATAGGGTAGGCATTCATTCTCCTTATCTGGATCAATAGCTAGTCAGTCACATATTACCATCCTCAAATTCTGAGGGAAACAACATAGAGTACAAGGAAATCAGATACGCACCATTTTATTAACAGGGTCTCCTACCTAAAACTTTATATTCTTTTATTTCCTAGTAAGATGGTACAGATGATGGAGGAGAAAACCACATTTCCCTTTAACAATCTATTAAGTCTAGACTAAGGGTTGCATACTGACAAACACCGGGCCATTTGGTCCTTATATTTTGCTGTGCTTATATATGTAGTGTTTTTAAAAGACAGTCAAACTGGACAGGTCTTATTTTTAATCACTGCATAAGAAATTTAGCATTTAATCGGTTTATGTGTATAGGTATATGTTAAGGATATGACCCCTTATAATTATTCAGATGTTTAATTTCTCACTTAGATACTAATCTCACCCTAAGCAAATAGTTCCTTACTTCCTTTGACCTGAGTCTAGCTCAGGCTCTTTCAGTTCTAAAGATATGGATAGAAATTACATCCAACCTTCAACTCCCCTGTTTCAGGTCTTAACAGTCACAAATGTTATGACAAAAGGAAAAGAAGAGACTTTTCAATTCTTTTATCATCTCTTTAAAAAGTTTTTATCTCGTTCTTGAGGAATTGAAAAAGGAAGAGTACCAAGTACCACCTTTTGTAATGTTGGACGTGGTTTCCAATAGCCCAATTAAGTGTCCTTGATTCTTGAGATATCCGTCTTTTCTAAGGGGAGCTCAAGAAGAACATGTTTTTTAACTGTTTCCATTGCAACATTTTATAAAAATGCACTTTTATTTAATTTTTAATTTAAAAATTTTTTTTGAGTTGGAGTCTCACTCTGTTGCCCAGACCGGAGTGCACTGGCCGCTCCCGGCCACCGCAGCCTCAACCTGCTGGGCTCCAGAGATCCTTCCGCCTCAGCCTTCCAAGTAGCTGGAACTACAGGCATGCGCTACCATGCACGGCTAATTTTTTGAT